AAAGGTAAGAGTTTCAAAGTATTTGTCTGCCAAGGTTGGCTTCAAACCCAGGATCCTTAGATCAGCTTGCTAAGTAGTTAACATTATAGGCAGGAGTCAATGGAGCCAGAGCCCAGCTTGAACTTCAGTCTTTGACACCTGTACAAGAATGTCCTGCCAGAGGGTCTTGGAAATCATAGAAGTCAATGTGGGGACTCAGTCCTATTTCACTCCCTCCTCATCCTCCCCAACCTGTACCTGCACTGGGCAAGGATTCAATGAATGAATACCTGTCATCTGCATAAACAAGTAAGTACATGGCCTTGAGTTCCAACCCCAGTACTGCCCAAAAACATCAACAACAAAAAAACAAACATAAGCAGTCTCCCAATAATATTATGATAATGATGGTGGTTTTGTAAATGAGAAAATCGGTCTAAAGTCAGTGACTTGCCTAGATAATCCATCTAGGATGTGGAAGATCTGGTATTTGAGCAAAGCTGGTTGTATTACTCTATTATCTATTATAATTGATATATATTATACAGCATAATCACATGACATATGTATTATGTCATATATGTGATATAAAGCATAAATAAATATATTATTTTATTTGGTTCTTTATTTTGGTGCCAGTCCTGGGCTTGAACTCAGGGCTTAAGCTTTTTTGCTTAAAGATAGCACTCTACCACTTGAGCCACAGCTCCACTTAGGGCTTTGTGGTGGTTAATTGGAAATAAGAGTCACATGGAGTTTCCTACCCATGCTGGCTTCAAACTGAGATCCCCAACTCCCAGTCTCCTGACTAGCAAGGGTTACAGGCATGAGCCATTTTCATGCAGCAGTTATTTTAAAATGTTACTGTTTCTACCCCAACTCATAAGTTTGAAGGCTTAAACTGTCTGATTCAAGACTACCTCCCTCCACTACTCCATAGTAATTTGGACACCAAAGTATCCTCAGCTTAATCATAGATATTGGCAGATGCATTGCCTCCATAAAATCCCTTTGTGGAATAGAGTTTTTTCCCCAGTTTGAAACTCCTTCTTAGCCTCTCTGAATGTCCCAGGTAGAAGAGTTCACAGTTCACCTTGTTCAACTACCTCCTTTTCTTTTTTTGTCAGTTGTGGGGCTTGAACTCTGGGGCTGGGCACTGTCCTTGAGCTCTTCAGCTCAAGGCAAGAGCTCTACCACTTGAGCCACAGTACCACTTCTGTTGGTTTTTTTTTTTTCTGTTAGTTATTGGAGATAAAGACTCTTATGGACTTTTCCTGCCCAGGATGGCTTTGAACCCTGATTTTCAGATCTCAGCCTCCTGAGTAGGTAGGATTACAGGCGTGAGCCATTGGTACCTGGCTCAACTGCTTCCTTATATAGCCTATGAGGTGACAAGATCACAGTGAGCCTAGAATCTAGGACTCCTGACTCCCACACCAGGGTTCTCTTTGCTTTCTCTGGCTGCCTCTGATTTCCAGCACCTAGAAAGGAACCTCCAAGCACAGGCAGAATATCATTTGGATCACTGACAGGGGTCCTCCTCCAATTTTCTGTGTGGCCAGGAACAAGTCACTGTCCCTCTCAGGAGCCTTAATTTCTAAGCTGGGAAAGAGGTTGAGAAAGCAGCTGATAGAGACCTCTGATCTGTACTTCCATATTCCCAGGCCTTTGGCACCTCCCACCCACATTTCCACTCACATATTCCTGGAGCAGCTGCTCAGCGTATTTGGTGAGGAGGCGGGCAAGGCTGTGTGTCTGCCGGATCTTGGCCTCCAAGTGGGGAAGCAGTGAGATTGAGGACTCAGCCTTGGGTTCTTCTGGTGGAAAAGGATGGAGGAATGAGGGCAGGGAGCCCACACTCTGCTCCTTGACCACCTCTCCCAGGCTGGCTCTTCCCCTTCTTAATCCAGAGACTGTGTTCTGGATTCTCTGGCATTCAAGCCAGGCAGAATCTGTCCCAATCTAACTGGGGGAAAATGAGGCACTAGACCTACCTGAAATGTGTTTCCTGTCACCAAATCACTTGTGAAATTCTATTAAAGCCAAATTCAAATACTGCCTCCTCAATGCAGTTTTTACCTCTGTGTATCTGCTTTTACCAGGGATACTTTAAAGATAAGGCCCATATGTCTGTACTTCTGTGACTGCTGGTGAGATTCAGCATCGCTGAAGCACACAACCTCAGATTGGAATGTTCCTTTAAAGCTCATTTTACAGACAGGAAAACTGTTGCCCCATTCCCTCTTTATGAGAGAAACTAGGCAGAAGCCAAAAGGTGGCTCCCCTGGCCGAAGACTACATTTCCCGAGATGCATAGCGCGGGCGCCCAGTACAAACTGGGGAATGTAGTCTTTGCCTCGCTTCCTCCCCCCCCCATCCCCCCGCCCCGGCCGGTGCCGCGTCTCCCACCGCCGATTCCGACCAGGACTCTTCTCCTCTAGTTGTCACTCACTAAGTCCTGTGGTTGAGACAACCTTCTCTAACTGGACACCTTCCAGCCCCGCTAGTTCTGATTCTTTCCCAGTGCTCTGACACCAACGTCCTGTCGGCCCTCCCTCCGGGAGTACCACCGGGGCTCTAACCCTGCGTCCGAGCCCCTGAACCTGCAGCCCCAGCCCCGGGCTTGCTCTAGACCGTCAAGCCTGCCCTTTTACCCAACTCACTCGCTCCCCATGAAACTGCAGCCCCGGGCTTCCCTTAAGCCTTCAAGCCTGCCCTGCTGCCCAACTCACCCGCTCGTTACCTGACACCGGAGCCTGCTCCCCCCCGCCACCCCTTCCCCGCCCAGGCCGCTCCTCTCCCGGGCCGGAGGGGAATGGTGGTGGAGACCTGAACCCCCCACCTTCCAACCCTTCTTACTCATTCTGCCCTGGGGGACCCAGGGTCGATCCCTTTGCCCCTTACCCAGACTTCCCTCCCTCTGGCTCATGCTGGCCCCTGGCTGATCCCGGCTCCCTCCACACCCCCTTTCGGAGGGAGGGGGGAGGGAGAAGGGGGGAAAAGGGTAAGGGCGGGGCCCACACACAGCCAATCATAGCCTAGACCCCAAATATTCCCCCGCCACACACACTTCCAGACAAGATTCCTTGGCCCTGAGCTCAGCCATCCGCCTGCCTGGCCTAGATTGGTAAGGGGCCAGAGATGGTAGGCAGGTGTCAGCTCAGTGAATAGGTTCTGAGGCCTGGTAGGCAGCCAGCCCTATGCCCTACCCAGAGCGGGAAGCAGACACTTATGTGAGCCTTCACCTTACCAGGCCTAGCAACAGACTCCTCCCTCCCCACCGGGACATACACTTGCATATACTGAGTTTCAGACATCCTGACCCAAATTCTTGTATTTGTAAGAGCAAGCTTCAGACACCTATACATGAGGGCTGGGAATGTGGCTTAGCAGTAGAGTGCTTGCCTAGCATGCATGAAGACCTGGGTTTGATTCCTCAGTAGCCCATAAATGGAAAAAGCAGGAAGTAGTGCTATGGTTCAAGTGGTAGAGCTATAGCCTTGAGCACAGAGAGGCTCAAGGACACACCCAGGCCCTGAGTTCAAGCTCCAGGACCAGCAAAAAAAAAAAGAAAGAAAAGAAAAGTCATACCCAATTACTACCCCCATTAACATGGTATAGAACGGTACACACTTAACCCCACGATTGTTTCCCAAGGACCCACTCTGACCTGAGCTCTGGGGTCGATCCATATTTAGTCTCCCAGGAGCTCACAGTCTGATGAAGGAGACCTTAAACAACAGCAGTACTGAGTCTGAGAAAGAGACTAAGGAACTGTAAAGGAGGCCTGGGTGTCTGAAGCTGTTGCATACACAGACAGCCAAAGGACAGTAAAGCACATCACTGGCCGAGAGTGTCAGGTGGATCTGAAGCCAGACTATTGATAGGGGCCACCCAATTTACCAACAGTGAATATATATGGAGTATTTACTGTGTGTGGACTTCCATGTTACAGATGAAGAAATAGACACATATGAGTCATCCTAGGCCACACAGATGTGTGAAGGTCTGGCATTTTACTTCTTCAGTGTGGTTCCACAAATGCTGTTTTAACCATCCATCTAACCCTTAACCCCTTGGGTCAAGTTCACTTGAAAAACTCACAGACACATACGTCTGTTTTTGAATTAAACACATACACAGCAGCACAGATTCAGACATGATCCTATCTATTGACTGGCCAGTCTCAAACCAAGACACATTCATTTTCTTAAAACAACAACAACAAAAACAAAAACACTTTGTCTGGGCACCAGTAGCTCATGCCTGTAATCCTAGCTACTCAGGAGGCTGAGATCTGAGGATCACAGTTCAAAGCAGCCCAGCCAAGAAAGTCTGTGAGACTCTTGTCTCCAATTAACCACCAGAAAACTAGAAGTGGCACTATGGCTCAAGTGGTAGAGTGCTAGCTTTGAGCTGAAGAGCTGAGGGACCGTGACCAGGCCCAGAGTTCAAGCCCCACAACAGACAAAAACAAAAACAAAAAAACAAAAACAAAACCAAAAAGCAACAACTTTGCACTGAACTACAATACACATGTGAAAAGGTACACATATCAGAAACAGCTTGAATTTTCAGATAAATATGAGTAAGTCAGATTCAGAAACAGAACATGCTCTTAGAAATCTCTTCTTTTCCCCTTCCAGTATTGAGGGTGACTGCTATCCTTTCTCTCTCATTCCCCCCCCCCACATCTATTGTGGGGCTTGAACTCAGAGCCTGGGCACTGTCCCTGAGCCTCTTTGTGCTCTAGGCCAACACTCTACCACCTGAGCCCCTGTGCCACCTCCAGGTTTTCTGTGGTTAATCAAAGGTAAGAGTTTCATAGGGACTTTTCTGCCTGGGCTGGCTTTGAAAGGTGATACTCAGATCTCAGCCTCCTGAATAGCTAGGATTACAGCACCTAGCTTATCTTGACGTCTTACACCATAGCTCTGATTCATATAACTAGAACCATCAGAGTGTACTGTCAAGTCCGGCTTCCTTTACTCAGGTTTTGTTCATGAGACATTTGTTGTTCTGGTAGCTATGTCTATATCCATGGTTCATATGGTTCATATCTATGAACAGGTTGTAATTCATTTTCCATTTGTCCTGTTGATGGATTTTGTTTTTTGGCAGTTTGGATCTATTGAGAATAATGCTATGAAAATTCCAGTATACCTATCTTAGTGCTCATATGTACACATTTCTGTTATGTGTTGACAACCTCGGAGTGGAATTGCTGAATCCTAAGGTTATGTGTTGTACCTAACTAGAAAACTGCCAGCTTTCTACCAGTGTCTCTACCAACTTTCACTAGTCCAGAAAAAGGACAGCTCAGTTGTTTTACTTCCTTGTCTACACGTGGTACGGTATGCTGTTTCCACTGGCTGGGAAGACCCGCTTGTATTGGGAGCGCCTGGCAGGTACTTGGCACTCGGTTGACTGTTGAAGAAAGTTGCGCAGCCTGGCCTGGGCCGGTCGGCCCAGGGCGGCCCAGGTCGGCCCAGGGCGGAAGCGCGCGCAGGCACCGAGGCGCGCGCGCGCGCGCACGCCTGCGTACGCACACAGACTCACAGCCCGCATTTCAGGAACGCCCACCAGCCGCGGACGCACACCAGGACCCAAACCCTCCGGCACCTCGGCGCCCACGTGGTCTGAACGCACGGCCTCGGCCTCGGCCTCGCCACGCGCGCCCAGCCGCGGTACCCGCCCCCAACTCTTCCCTCCGCCGCGGGCAGGGGGCGCTGCGGACAGGGCAGCCCGAGGGGGCGGGCCCGGGGCGGGGCGGGGCCCGGCGGGGCTTCCAGGCCTGGACTCCGGCCGCCTGCGTTGCCGAGAGGCTCCGGGGACGGGCCGGGGCGGGGCGCCGCGGCAGGAAGCGGGGCGGAGACTCGCGGAGGCATTGGGAGCGAGGGAGGGCGCGGCCAACTCCCGGAGGGACGGCCGGCGGCGAGCGCGGCTTCCCGGCCTGGCGCCGAGCCTGAGCCCGCTGGACCGACGCGGCTCCAGCCCCGCCAGCATGGCCGGCCGGACTGTACGGGCCGAGACCCGGAGCCGGGCCAAGGATGACATCAAGAAGGTGATGGCGACCATCGAGAAGGTCCGGAGATGGTGAGCGCTGACCACCCTCCCCCGCCCCCCGCTCCCGGGCCATGGGCGGGCCATGGCGGGGGCCATCCCTCCAAACGCGCCTGCCGGTCCTCAGCGGTGGGGGCGCAAGTGGAAGGTGTATCCACGCCCCCCGGCTGTGCCCGGGACCCACAGGCTTCCACTCCCGCTCCCCTGGCTGCTCCCGAGGTCTATAAAGCGCGGTCCCCAGCGGTGCCCATGCCCTCCTCACCTATGCCCCGCCCCCTGAGCGTTGACACTCCTCCCGCCAGCGTGCTTCCCTGCTGGGGTCCACAGCCAGGCCCACAGTGCTGCCATGGCCCCCAGTCTACCCTTTCTCTAGTCGCGCCCCATCTCTGTCCTGGGATTCAGAGGGCTGTCTTTCTCTTTCTTTGCCCCATTAGCAAAACCCTACAGAAATAACCCTGCTTATGCCCAGGTCTGCAGATGTGCCAGCTTGTGGGGGTGGGGGGGGGGAGAGTATCTCTCTCCTCAGGCCTCTCTGACCCTTCCTACTCTCCCACAGGGAGAAGCGCTGGGTAACTGTGGGCGACACTTCACTTCGTATCTTCAAGTGGGTACCAGTGGTGGATCCCCAAGAAGAGGTGAGCAAGACCCACTCCCACCAAATCCTGCACCTGCACAACCTCAGGCAAACGTTCCCTTGACTCCCACCTTCAATACCTACTCCGAGACCCAAGTGTCACAGCCCACATAGGGGCAGCAATTCTTAGCAACTCATCTCCATCTTCCTTTTTCCTGTCCCAGAACCGGAAGGTCATGATCTCTGCAACATACACAATCTTTGTCACTTAAGGCAGCACCATTGGCCTCTTTGTGCCTCAGTTTCCTTATTTGAACAAAGGAGGCCTTGCAAAAGCTACTTAGAAAACTGGTTCTGATAGTATTCCTCTAACCCCTAGGAACGGCGGAGGGCAGGTGGCGGGACAGACAGATCTCGTGGCCGGGAGAGGCGGGGCAGGGGCGCCAGTCCAAGAGGGGGTGGCCCTCTTATTCTGCTGGACCTCAACGGTATGTAGGGATCCTGGAACTGGGGGTTGTGGTATGTGAAGGATGACATTGGGTGTCCCAGGCTAACCATCTCAGCTTTTGCTCCCACAGATGAGAACAGCAACCAGAGTTTCCATTCAGAAGGTTCCCTGCAAAAAGGCACAGAGCCAAGCCCTGGGGGCACTCCCCAGCCCAGCCGCCCTGTGTCACCTGCTGGACCCCCAGAAAGGGTCACCACAGAGGAGGTCCAGCCCCCACAGCTGGGTCAAGAGAGAGGTAGGACCATGTGCCTCTCAGAAGCCCTCTCCTCTGAGTCCTGCCCTCTCTAGAATCAAACCTATCAGCTTATCTTGTACCTGCTCTACCTGCTGCCACAAGAGCTGCAGAACTACCTCTAGCGGTGGTCTGTCTCATTTTTCTAGCTTCTTAGGATCTGTAGATAACACATCATCATGGAGGTTTTTTTTTTGGGTCGGGTTGTGGGGCCTGAACTCTGGGCCTGGGCGCCCGTCCCTCAGCTCTTCAGCTCAAGGCTAGCGCTCTACCACTTCAGCCACAGCACCACTTTTGGCTTTTTTCTTTTTGCTTATGTGGTGCTGAGGAATCGAACCCAGGGCCTCAGGCATGCAAGGCAAGCGCCTACCACTGAGCCACCTTCCCAGCCCAATCATGGAGATTTTTATGTAAATTTATTTCTTTGCTACAGTACAGTCTTCCAATTACTTCCATCTCATATCACCTTCTTCAGTGTCGGCCCTATACTAATCTTGTAGGCCAATATGTAACTTAGAATATTATCGGATGCATATGTTCCCAATAAATAATTTGTTGTGTAAATAAGTAACAGATAATCATAGGAGTGA